TCCGGGCTCGCCGGCGCGGCGCGGGCGGTGGGCGCTGATTGACAGCCCCGCCGCCCAACCCGCGCCTCCGACGCCAGAGACGCCCTCGGAGCCCCGCCCCGAGCAACTGCCGCGCCGTGGGGCGGCGCGCGGGTTCCTGTCAGGACGCGGCGGGACGGACGAAGCGCGTGGGGCCGAGCCCGGCCTCCCTCCCGCCCCTCCGCCATGTTCTCCTCAGCGCCTGCCTTTGCCCGCAGCAGCTCCTCCGCCGGCAAGCTCGGTCGCAGATGCGGAGGGGCGAGGTAAAGCTCGCTGCGGAGCTGCCGCCAGGCCCAGGGGTGAGGAGGCGTCCCGGGGGCGGGCGCTGGGCCGGGCCCCGGAGCCTCCCGTCACCTCAGCTGCCCCGCGCTCGGTCAATAGAGCCGTGCCCTTGGCTGCCGCACCGCGCGGGTGAGGCGCTGAGGGCGGGTCAGGCGCCCGGCCCTTCTCGGTTTCCTGCGTATTTTTAAGCAGGATAATAACGTGACCAATAAAAGCAAGCAGATGAGATGCATTAGAAAATAAAGCATCAGCAAGATTTTTTTTTTCCCCATTAATAGACTTCAAAAACCGTTATTCTCTTGAGGGAGGGTCCTTAGGATTTTTGTTTGTTTGTTTGTTTTTTAAATACAATTCTACCTCCTTCAGTGGCGAGGCCACCAGCTGATGAGGCTCAAAATCACAAAGCCCTTTTGAAAATGATAGGCCATATAAATGATGGAGAGCACAAATTAAGGGCTCGTTTTACTGGCTCCCTGTTTTTTTGGTTTCATGTGTCTGCTTGCTTTGGTTAAAATTTCTGCTGAGTGGTTTTATACCATGTAACAAGACAAGGAACAGGCCCAAAGTGCATGGTGGTTAATAAGTAGATATTGTGTACTATGCATTGGTTACTAAGTACTCCTCGCTTTAACCCGCAATAGTGATTTTGCAAAAACAGACGGTCACGAGTCACAAAAGGCTTTGATACTACCAGTGCATTTTTTATTTTCCTGGCTTCTTGTACTGAAGCATTTTTCATTTAAATAGTGTGTTGCAGGTATCCTAGATGAGATAAATGTGTTCCCAGATTATCTCAAGTGGAAGGATGCGCGATCATCTTCGTGAGTCTGAGTTTTGTTTCTTGTTTTTATTAATACAATGAAACATATTGGAAGACCAAACCAAGGAAAAAAAATAGAAGGTCACCTTAAAGAAAAATTTCAGGACATTATTCTAGCACACATGAAAACAATTCTCTTAAGTTTGACATAATTATTTTATTTGTCTGACAGATTTACTGAACTAAAAGAGGTCACGCACAGCAGCCCTTACCTACATCTCTCTGCTTTGCTCCACTGCTTGGATATACCGACAGTAGTTTCTGAGTGTCAAGGCACTCTTCATTCTGACTTACCAATTTTTTCATCTTTTGTACCATTTACAATAGTGATAAAACCTCATACAGCAGCCTAAAAATTAACTTGACTGCTCTGGGTTTCCTGTGCTCCCAGCATGTTTAAATGCTTCTCTTCAGCTGAAAGCTAGTACTTATTGGTCACATGTTCATGCAGTAATTTCATACATGCATAAGCTGAAGTGATTTAGGAAATGTGTAAATGAAGGTGAAACAATTAACAGTCCTGCAGACGAAGGTGTCACTTTTATTCCATATTTTCTAAGCACAAGAAGGAATACCATATTGAAGGCTTCTAAGAAACTTAATGGATTTCAGGGTTAATATCTAGTACTTGAGAGGACTGGATATTAAGTTGAATGGAGATTTAGATTCTGCTTTGGAGTGTTTCATTATGCTGATGACCCAGAGTAATGTATAAATAAAGTAGAAATGCTACTCTGATGTGATTTGAGGACAGAAACAGTATTGCTCAGGCTTGCAGTATTTTTGCCTTCAGGAATATCTAATTAAAATGGCAAATTTCTGTGGCAACAGTGGCTTGGTTGCCATAGTGCTCTATCTTGTTAATTTGCATTGAAAAAATTATAACTCAAGTTTCTTTAAATAAAACTAAGATTTGGTTTTGACTTCCCTGTTTATACGTGAGCTAAAGTTCAGTATCAAATGTCCTGTGCCAGGAGAAAGTTCTTGCCAGTATTTACAAGCAAATGAGTGTAATTCC